GATAGAGAGTTATCCTGTGATTTAAAAAGGATTTTTAAGACTGTCAATAATTATAAACTTATGTATAGTGCTAATAATAAATTACAACAATTATTAGGTAATCCTAAAGATAAAACACCTCCACTGGAAAGGTCAGGTTTTATAAAATTTCATGTAAAAATTGTAATCAGAAATATGTTGGGCAAACTAGATGATCAATATTAACTGTATATTTAAAGACTGGATTAATCTTGTGTTGCTCAACATATTGTTCATAAAGAACACTGTATATAATAATTTAAAATTAATTAAATAAGTCTCAAATTACAGGCAATTAGATGCATATGAGAGCATCAAAATTAATAAATGTAAAGATACTATGAATAGAGACAATGGTCCAAATCTTTCCAGTTCTCTGTTCCTATTGCTCTAGTTTCTAGTAATTAATTGTTACGCTAAGTTGGTTTTGTCTCGCTTGGTTAGTTTTGTCACGCTTATTCGGTGCCAACGGAGCGCCTATATAAACGCTTAATTTGTAGATATTGGTTTAGTTTTAATCATCTATCTACTACGTTTTAATCATCTACTACGATGATGCTAACATGGTTAACGAAACGCGCGTAGAATGCAAAAAAGCGTTTTGGTGTATTGACACAAATTACCTATAACAGATGCGAAAGAAAGCGACTGCATCGGAAACCGCTCGGCAAACCCGACACGCCTATTGAGTGGTGTAAATACACCAGTCGTTTAGTCCGGAAACCGATGCTGTGTCGTATTCGCTTGCTGGAATGACATAGTGCGTGGTTATATGTTTCTTTTTAAAAACGCGTGTAGGATTTTTGTTGAACCTTTGAACTGTTATTTCTAAGTTTTGGTAATTTGTATATCTTATTTAAAATAGGATGCAAATGTGTTTATTTATAAGGAAAAAAAAGATATTTATAGTATAAAAAATTAATTTATTTAACAAAATTTAATTAAAAATGTGACAAAATAGTTACCTTTCTATTGGTTCTATCGGACTTTTTTCGACTATATAAATCTTTATTTGTAAACTTTAATACATCAAATATTTTCAATCTAATAAATCATTTAATGATGTAAATAAGAGGAAATTTCTCACATGCGTGGTCAAATTTTATAGTTTTCATTCTATCAAACAGCCTCTGAGAAATGTTTTCAACTCAAAATGTTTTTAATTATGTTTGACTACATCATTAAAAAGGGTCTTCAAATACATCAATGTGATATTTGTCTAAAATTTGCAAAAGAATCCGAATCTCTGGATAACTCGAAATTATTTACCCATTTAAAAGCCTTTGATCATGAAAGTGGAAAAATTTGTTCATTTTATTTACAGGCTGGAAAAATTACTTATATTAAATTTTAATGAGTTTTGCACTGAAGAAAACATTCAGAGGCTGTTTGATATAATGAAAACTATAGAATTTGACCACCCATGTGAGAAATTTCCTCTTATTTACATCATTAAATTATTTATTAGATTGAAAATATTTTATGCATTAAAGTTTACAAAAATAAAGATTTATATAGTCGAAAAAGTCCGATAGAACCAATAGAAATGTAACTATTTTGTCACATCTTTAATTAAATTTTGTTAAATAAATTAATTTTTTATACTATAAATATCTTTTTTTTTCTAATCTCCTACGAGCTGATATAATATGACGAGCAATCTATTAAATTACTGTGAGATTATACAGAAAAGTCCACAGACTTCGAGACAGGAAAATCAAGTCCATTTAGCGTGTGTCCAAATTTTGACAAGTTTTCAAAAACGACAGTTTTGTTTAGAATGACGTTTAATTTCACCTGACTTCTCGGTGAATGATTTCTTTTTATGAAGGTACATAAAATCTAAAATTTACGGCCATGAAGAAATTCAAAACTTGGAGCAGTTAAGGCAGAAAATATTTAATGCCTTTGGCACTGTCACTCCTGATATGTTATCCAATGTGAGGAGGGGATTTTATGCGTTCGTTTGTTATTGTTTAATGCAAGAGGGAGGCACTTTTGAACAATTTTTGTAATTTTTTAAATTTCATTATCCTGTTTTTTTACCGTTTACCCATTACCTACCTTGACGAACATGGGAAAACGAAGGTCCTTTTCAGGACCACAAATATTTTGATTGAGAAAATTGATAACTTTTTTTGGATTAAAAAACAAAAGTTGTAATACCAATTTAAAAGTGTTTTAGCAGTTTTAATACACACTATGATATAAAATTTATTATTATTATAATGTACATTATTAATACTATTGTTCATTCGAAATGGCATTAAGGCCCAATTGCAACAATGATTTAAATTTTTCTTAAAGATAAGTAGAGCTTAGAATGAGCTGTATTTATATTTACTTTAATATTCACCTTAAATGAGGGAATTTGACTGATACAATTTTTGAATTTGAATTGTTTTTAATGATACTAACAATTTTAGTTCAATTTTTAATAAAATTTATTTAATATTAATAGAAATCCAAGAGATTTGAAACCTCTTTTAGCGATTTATAACATTCTCAAATGAATTACAGGTGCCCTTATTTTCTATGAAAATCACACAGCTTTTTTCATAGTCGCTGCAGTTGCTATAGCTATAAAAAACTAATTTTTTAAGGTGTAAAAATTGCGACACACGCTAAATGGACTTGATTTTTCGTATGTCTCGAAGTCTGTGGACCTTTTTGTAGGCCTCGATATTGGTGCAGATTATTTTCACCCAAACAAATAATAACTCAAACTATACATTGATGCGGATTGTCTACGAACTCTTTCTGAAGGTCACAGAAACCTGAACGCGTAATTCGGTGTTCTTTCGCATCTGTTATAGGTAATTTGTGGTATTGAGGTGAATTATTGCTTAAATATTTGTCTTAGACATACTTAGATTCCATCCCTAAAATAGAACACCCGATATAATCAGGGATGTGTTGGAAATGAAGACCGCTATCATTTTGTAGGTAACATTATATGGGGAATTTCAAGGATCAACTGGGCGACTACTACCAAGTCACCTGGATGACTGTTACTGCTACTGTCATCTGATCGGTAAAAAAGACGGTAAGTTGGTTTGAAAATGACAGCGATCGTCAGTTTCAAGGAAGTACAGGATGATGCCCTCGACGTTTCGAACCGATGCCTCTAAATGGACGAAATCATCGGGATTTTTCTTAATTATGAGTCAACTGGAACCAAACTACGCGTGGATAGAGGTACCCGAATGGAGTCCTCGGAGACCAGATCTTCCGACCTTAATAACACAATTTTTTTAGTTTAATTGGTTCTCCTTTACGTTTATATTAAAACTTATAGAATGTGTATTAAGATCAACTACCTAGATATTTTTTATTTTATTTTAGGAAATAGACAAAGGGCAAAGATGGATAATTAATAAACTGAACTTCAGAAAAAAAATTGAGTAATGCAGAAGAACATACGTATATTAGACAAAATTTGAGGACATTTTCTATTAATAAACTGTAATCGAAATAATTTTGCTTCAATTTTTGAAAAATTTTAAAATGGGACATTAATAACAACGTTACAAAAATTACAAGAAATTTTCTATCAATTTTCAAATTTTTCAAAATTTTGATTTGCTTATCTAAACATTTTAGTTTTATTTGTTATCTTTTTTAATAATGTTTTCTTCAACATTCACTGCAAATACACCAAAATATACCTAACCAATTCTTTTCTGAAAATGGCTGAAGCAAAAACAAAGTTCCTAGTATGATAATGAAACGTGAAATAAGTAGAAAGAGAAGGAGTGGTAAACCGAGAACCAAATGGAAAAAGGATGTTGAAGAGAACTTGAGAAGGATAAGAGTGAATGGGTGGAGAATAAAAGCGAAAGACAGAAATAAATGGAGAAAGATAACCAATGAAGCCATGCATGAGCCTTTTAGGCTTTTAGAGCTACTATACAGGGTGGTCCAAATTTTATTCCGGAAACTTCTGCAGCATATTCTGCAGATAAAAATAAGTAAAAAAGTTCTTATAAATGTATATCCTAAAATGCTTAGTTTTGGAGATACAGGGTGTGGAAGTTTAATTTTTATTTCGATTTTTTCCAAATAATTTCTGAACTAATGTCAATATTTGGATGAAATTTGGTGTCTGGGAGTTTTTTGATATGAGAAATTAGATTTTGATGTCAATATGACCCCAATTTTTAGAGGGCGACATCTACATAATATTTAATTGGTTTGAAGAGTCATAACTCTTCGATCCTTACTTGTATAAAACTACTAAGTAAAAAAATATACATTTACGACGTTTTTAACGTAAAAAAGGTCTCTTAATAAAAATCGCTACGAGTAATACTTCTCGAGATATTTGAAATCGAAATTATCAATACCTGTCATCATTGGCATAAATTAAACATGCTGACTAAATAGTTAATAGACTGAAATCATAAATTTGAAATGTTTTTGTGCCAATCAATCATCATTTTTTCGAAGAAAATTTTATGATTAAGTTAAAAAAATAAAAATTTCCCAAAATTATAATTTCAGTCAAATAACTATCTACTAAACATTGTTTATTTTTTGTCAATAATGACATGTATTGACTAGTTCCCTTCTAAATATCTCGAGAAGGGTTGCTCTTAACGATTTTTACCAAGAGACATTTTTTACGTAAAAAATTACGAAAATGTATATTTTTTTATTCAGTAGTTCTATACAGGTACGGATAAAAAGTTATTACTCTTCAAAACAGTTAAAACACATGTAGGTGGCGCCCTCAAATGTACATCAAAATCAAATTTGTCATGTCAAAAAAATAGCAGATACCAATTTTGATCCAAATATTGACGTTATTAAGCATTTTAGAACATACATTTATACAAACTTTTTTACTTATTTTTATCTACAGAATATGCCGCCGAAGTTTCCGGAATACACTTCGGACCACCCTGAATATAATTCTTTTCATTTTCAATTTTGAAGAGTCATTCTCCAAAATAAAAATTGTTCCACATCACATTACTTACCTTGAGTCAATGTAAGAATCCGAAAAATCATCTTCATACTGCAAACTAAATCGGTACTTAGCAAACTGATGCTTAGCTTCAGGCGTATCAGGATTGGACTGAGGCAAAGGTTCCGGTATTAGACCACTATAACCTCTAGCACAAGCCATAGAACAAAACCGTCGTTCTCTTGTATAAAAAGCGTGCTTTACACCAATCGCACCACATTTCTCACAAACAGCTGCAAAAATGAATTAAGTTTTAGTAATGTAAATCTTGATCAACATAGTACCCAACCAAATATTAATGAAATCAATTAGTATCAATAGAGTAATTTTTTGGAGAATATTACCAATAAAACAATAAAGATTAATAGTATTAAAGTATTTTAATTCTTACCAATTCCATCTTTCTGAATAGGTATGACCGATGGATCTGTATTCCCTTGATATGCAATTGGCGTTTTCAAAACTAAACCTGGATGCTTAACTGGTTTAATTTTTCTTGTGGGACAAGGCAATGTTTGCGTGGCAGTGGTTATCATATATACAGGTTGAGAATTATCATCCTCGAGGTAGCTTGAATCATTGCTTTCATTTTTCATATCAATGTAATGCATCATATCGTAGCTCTCTACCGTATCCTAAAAATACATATGATTGAACAACAGTTTGACTTAATAGTTATTATTCTCTGAACGGTACTATGATTATATAGAAGGCAAAACTTACAACTTGGGAGCTGTGCATAGTACTATGGAGATCGTCCATTGATTGGCTTGACATGCTATGATGGGAAGGTGTATAATAAACATTATCCTGATGATCCAGAAGTAGTTCGTTGTTTTCATTAGGCATAAGACCTATGGGTACTTCTCCAACTGCTTGTTGGGAGCCCATCCATACCATTCCCATTTCAGCCATACCTGGCATAGTATTATATACTATAACGGAAATTTCAGATATAAATTATGTTCTAAATTAACAATCTTTGTGAAAAGATCGTTAAGCCTTACTTGAAAATATCTTAAAATATACCTAATAGATAACTGATGTCATTTCTAAAGGAAAACCATTTTTTTTATTTTCCAGGAGACTAGAATCAATAAAACCAACAAAATTATCGTTTGTAATTATAGAAATAGAGCAAATTTAAGCATACATTAGGTCTAAAATTAAAACTCAACTATGGTATAATTATGAAAAAAGTATAAAAAACAACCATCAATTCAATAGGGTGTTTGCAAACAAAAGGAAATATTTTCTACAAATTGTACCGTAAAAGCAACGTACCATTCATTTTAGAAATTAACTAAAAGTCTGCCAATTCCGCGAAAAAACAAAAAAATAACATTTTCAGTGAGAATTTATTTAATTTCAAGAAAGACCTACACGATTCACGGATCCCACAATTTTCAATTTCAACGAGGCTGTCAAAATCTGTCAAATAAAATCAAACTTATAAAGCTCCAGTGTCGCCAACATTCTTTAAATTTAGGTTGTTTCTTTAATAATTTTCCTTGTTTAATTTTATATTTCTTTAATCAAAACTGTGATCAACAGATGTAGAAACTAACAAAACAAGAAAATGTATTAAAAAGATTGGTATAAATAAATTATGTACACATGTTTTAAAAAGGTTCATTTCTTCGATTTGTAATAAAATAGTTTTCACTGGTATTGTTTATTTGAAAAAGGAAACTTCATCCCTTCGACCCTAGATGGCGATACTATTCTTTTCCTTGGCTCAGAAAAAATTTAATATTTTTAAGACATTAAATTATTAAAATCAAAGATTAAAATGATATTAAATGCTTTTAAAGTTCCTATTTATTCAAGTACCTATATGTTTGGTACTTCTGTCTATAACAACTTGTTGTTCTGGACGTAATATATGATTTCATAATGAATTCACAGGTATTTTTTTGGTATGTTAAAGGAAAGGAATTAGTTTAAAATAACATTTATTATACTATATACAACTATTTAAACAAATCTAGAAGCAATACCCAATATTTTCGTATAATCAGCTCCTTTATTATGCGTTTTTTCTTTCATAATAGTTCGTAGAATTGTTGGAATAGGCACATGTATTCTAGTTCCTAGTGGTGTGCCGCTATCATCTATTAACACTATGTTATTACTATCAAATTTAGGCACTTTTGGTTTTTGATTTTGTTTCAAACCTACAAGTATACCTTTTTTCTTTTCGCCCTTAATGGCTACAAGAACTCTGTCACCTACAATGAATGTTAATGTCAATATTAGTACTTGAAATTTTACCATGTTTTTTTTTATACCTATTTTCCCAATTCCAGTTTTATTATAAACGTGAATACATTTCGGGGGCTTTCCTTCTGCCATAGCTTGTTTTCCAATTTCACTATTATCCACTACTCGTAGCTTGGTCATTTTTTGAATTTCACATTTTACAGAAGACGTGTGCAGATTGTATTGTGACCTTCCAAATATTTTCGAAGACTGAAAAATTAAGTTCCTTGTTATCATATTGATACTTAAGTTGTATTATCTGTTTGTTTTTTCTCAAATACCCATTCTATATTCTATAAATTTGAAATCGAATTTTAAGGTTAGGTTAGAGAATAAATTAGTTCACTTTATAATAGATAGAGGGCAATGTAGCGAGAATTATGAAACATTTATTTTCTTGACAAATTTAATTTGGCCTCTGGATGCTCGAGGGCGCCACAATCGTAGAATGCAGGCGGCAATAAAAATATTTGACTTCAGAGGCGTACATAATTTTAACAATGTTAAAAAAATATTCTATAGTATTTTTAATACCCATTTAGAATAACACCATCCTTATTTATTATTAATAAATCAGTTGAAACAAAAAATTACCAACAAAAATGAACGTCGATTACTAATAATTTGTTAGATGTCACGTTTTTGAAGTTACGTTTCATGTTAATGTCATAACGCAAAATAAGATATAAAAATGCGATATTCTGATGAATCCAAAAAACTTATGCTTAATGTAGTAAACTATTTTCAAAACGATTTAGGATCTCGATTTAAGGCAATTCAAAAAGCGTCCGAAGCACTAAAAGTCCCAGAATGCACATTATATAATCTAGAAAAACCAAACAGAGCTACAGATTTCGAATTTAGAAGAAATATGTCTGCAAGCGTTTCCCGGAGCAAAATCCGAATTACAAAGAATACCCTACATTGTTTGAGGGAAGTAATTTACAAAATGTATGCGCGAAAGGATAAAATCACAGTAGAAACTCTAAGAGTCTCCAGAAACTAAGATTTCCAAAAGTTCGTTATATTTGGGAATTAAAAAAATGGGTTTTCATTTCAAAAAACGGGATGGAAGAAAACAGTTATTGGAAATGCCTGGAATCAGATTAAAAAGAATATTATTTTTGAACAAATACCATGCTGCTAAAAGCGAAAAGCTTTTTACACCTGTTTTTCTGGATGAGACATGGATTTTTAGTAAAAGCGGGGATAGAAGAATGTGGCAAGATGGTACTAAACACAGTGATTTAAAAAAAACTGGAAGTGGGACGCGATATGTAATTGTTCATGCCGGTAATAAAAATGGTTTTGTGGTAAATGCATCGCTAATTTTTAAATGCAATAAAAAAACAGGTAATTACCATGACAACATGAACACCGAAAATTTTGAAAACTGGTTTAAAAAGCAACTAATTGTAAACTTGGAAGAACCATCGTTAATTATAATGGATAACGCAACGTACCACAGTCGCCTGGATGAAGAAATCCCAAGAAAAAGTTAGAGCAAAACACGCATGTTAGAATGGCTCAAAAAGAAGAATATTCCTTTTCCAGATCACATTTTAAAGGATGCTGTTTGGAATATAATTGAAAAGCAAGTTTTTCCGGAAAAAAATTATCATTTAGATAAATACGCTGCCGAGCATGGTCATTGTGTTCTCAGGCTACCACCCTACCATTCCATTTTAATGCCATCGAAATGGTATGGTCTGAAACTAAAAGGCATTATGGACCAAGCTATTATGAAAACTGCAGGGTCACCTACTGAAGTCTTAAAAATATGGAATGACGTTATAAATAATGTACCGGAGCAACACTGGCAGAATTACATAAAACATACAGAGAAAATTATTTCTGAAGCATGGGAAGTAGAAAACAAACTGGATCTACTAAACATCGAACCTATGGTGATCTCTGTATCCAATGAATCCGATGATGAACTATCACTTTCCGAAAGTTATTCTGATTTAGAAAATAATTAAACTTAGCCTTTAAGATCACGTTGTAATTTTTTTTAAATCTAGAATTTGTACTTAAACGAGCCCTTAAATAAATATTATTACTGCTTGCTCGACTTCTTGTTATATTATTTATTATACTTTTAGTGCTTCGGACGCTTTTTGAATTGCCTTAAATCGAGATCCTAAATCGTTTTGAATATAGTTTACTACATTAAGCATAAGTATAAGCCTTAAATCGAGATCTTAAATAATATAGGTATTTTTTTAAGAAAACTCGGTATCTAGTTAATAAAACAATATTTTTAAAATTAGTGCGCTTCTTTTATATTTTTTTTATTACGTCAACATCTTTAGAATTTCATAAAATTAATTTTTATTATTATAAACCGCCACTGATAATATGAAATTTCAAGTCACTCCGCCAATGCAATAAGAAATATGTCAAGCATTTGACATGACAAAGGTCATAACCTAATTTTTTTCATGCGGGTTTAGATGGTGCAAGAAGCCGCATACGTTAAGTTACTAAAACGGCTGGTACCTCTAAATAGGTATTAAAAATACTATAGATATATTTTTTCTTGTAACGTTGTATGGGTATCGAAAAAAAAAACGACTTCCATTTGGCTTTGAAATGACGATCGCTGACATATTTCTCATTCTGATAGTCAATCCCAGGATATCAAAACGGGATCTCGATCTCGATAATTATGGAAACTTTAATTATTATAATCCTTCTTTCCTTCCTTAAACTTTTTATTCATACGGCCAAGCAGACTTCAACAATTAAAAGAAATGATGTAATTTCTCATACGAAATGTTTATCTGTCTTCATACAGAGAATGCTCGATCGCAGACATTTTTGATCAAGCATGCACATTATAATCTTGTTAAATGCATTGGTTGTGAAACATGACTGTATTAAATGATACTATAACAGCGAAGATAGGTTAAAAACTTTATTTCTTCTCGCACGTTTTTTTAATTGCTTCCATTTTTGAAAATGTTTGTATTCCTTTTCATAAGTTACTCGTGATTTAAATGGAAGTAGTTTGGATATGCGTTTGTCGCCTCAGCCTGAATATCTGTTGGTAATTTACTTATTTCGTTTTGAGCCATTTCTGGCTCCAATTCAATCAGCAATCGACACGAAAGAGAATTAAAACATATTGACTCAAAACTGACAACTACAGCTTTATTTATTTGTCAAATTACATAGAAACCAGCGCCACCCAGCACAATAGTTTTTCTACTCGTAATAAATTCCTTGAAATAATAATTTCTGAATATTTTTAAAGCGTAACTCGCTATGGAAAAAAATATTGTTTTATACACAACGATAAAATTGCATTATTGTCTCCCGAAATTAATTCACTCGCACTTTCGCTATAATATCGTCTTGTATAAAAAATAACTATAATATTGTATATCATATTTATTTAACTGTTTAAATATTTCTAAATTGTCAATAATGGTGCGTTATTCGCAAATGCTCCTGTGCTTGTTTTATGGATTATCTTCAATTTTGCCGTCGGAACGCAACTGACGCAATTTGGTTAACTGTTTTTTTCGTGGCTGAAACTATAGATGAACTTTCATGGCTGAAACAAATCTGTCCTTTGAGAGAAATTCTACAACGAAAATGTAAATTAAATAATAATTATAAGTATCCCAGACAGCACATAATATCTTAAAGACGTCTTTTTTATATCTTAATTAGATCTTAACGCCTAAAGACTAAAATAAGACAACTTTTGGACATCATTTTAAAGATATTCATAAGATGACGAAATAAAACATCTTTAGGACGTCCTATGAGGACGTCTATAAAATGACATTAGAAATGATTAGAAATTTTAAATTTAATTTTTTCTATTTATCTCATTTTTTTTCTAGAGTAGGCGATAATCATAAAAAAAGGAGAGTATAATCTGGTATCATATGACAGAAATATGGTATAATCTTAACAGAAATAAAAACATTATCCTGATTTAATTTATAGGCGCAAATATGACGATTGACAGGCGTGACAGTTATCTTCTGTGGTTGTGGTTGATGTTGATGTGAGGTTATGTGATCGAGAGTCTCTGGAAAACCCTGGAAAACCTAATGTTTGTTCTTGTCGTTGTTATAAATTGTAAAAAAGCACGCAAAACCGTTTGGCAAAGAGACGTGATATAAAGTTTCATCAGAGAATTTATCAAAATTTCATCATTAAAGCTGATCAAAGAAGTTAAAGCTGATATTGTAGGTAAGCCAGTTAAGTTTAAAACAGTTAGGTTGTTAGATATATTTGAACAATTATCTTATTTCTATGATTCATATTTTAGATGCGCATGATAACACATCTGAAGGTGTCCCTCCAGTGGTTGTTCAAGAAGAAAATACCAATACATAACGTTTCGGTCAGATATATCACTATTATAAAACATCTGAGAGAAACATGCTTAATTTAAAAATTAAAGACAATGCCAGTCCAAGAAGATGTTTTATTTTATAATTCACCATTGTCTCCCATTTTGATTATATTAAAAGACATCTTAAGTACATTGTTAAAATATATCTTAAAGACATTGTACTCAAGACGTCTTAAAGATGTTGAGTTTTTTAACATCAGACGTTGGTAAGATGCCTTTAATACGTCTAAAGGCGAAAATAGACGTCTTTGAGATGTCAGTATTGTTGAAACAAGTTGTCTTATAGATGTCTTTAAAATGTCACTGTGCTGCCTGGGTATGTACAGGGTTATTCACCTCATTCGACACTCATTTCACGAGTATTGTAACCAATTACCAAATGATTGGATTATTAGAAATTGTGAATAACGGGATCATTGAAGGACTACTAAAGCTAGAATTTAAAATTATTTTTAAAAGTTACAGAGAGTCCGAAATAAAGAAAAAACGTCAAAGTTTTATTTTTTTAAACGGAACACCCTGTATATTATTATATTCTTGGTTTCTACGATTAAAATAAAGGTAAATTTTATTAAGGTTTACCGCACTTTAATCTTACCGTTTTTGAAATATTAACGATTTTGTGAAAATGCAGTAACAATTTTAATGTTTTGTGTCTCTAAGCGTATTACAGTTTTTAAAACAAAATACTGTTCTGAAGTTTTTCTATTCACTAAATTTTGTGCTGCAATAATAAAAATAATACTACCTTTACACATAGTGTCTAAAAATTTATTTTAAATATTTACTAGATTTAAACGGCAATAATTTGTTTAATTTAAATGGGACACTCTGTATATTTTACGTGAACCAGATGCACAATTTAATTGTCTATCAAATTGCATTATACTATTTTTTACTTATCTCTTCAACATTTCGTAGAAAATGCATTTTAATATACCTAATTTAGACCTCATTTATCACTATAC